CTCTGGACAAAGGCTTCACATGGAAGCATGACATAAGCAACAAAAACCATCAAGCTAACACTTTTATTAATTTGTTACAACCACTATTCAACAATAAAAAATTGGACATACAAAACAAGATCCTGCTATACAAACAAATAATTTTATCCGCAATAACTTACTGCAGCACAACATTCAACAAGACCTGCAAAACCAATATCAAAAAACTACAAACAATCCAAAATAAGGCAATACGGAAAATCTTCAAAACTTCCTGGTACATAAGAACCAGGTCGATTGAGAAACAAACTTAAAACCCATCGAAACACATATTAAAGACAAAGCAACCAACCTTTTCCAAAAGGTCGACAGACATTCAAAGTCTACACTGGCGGGTTTAAAAATTACAAACAACAATAACCCAGTAATCAGATATGCAGATCTACGATCCATCATAGAGTTACGATAGGTACACCATAGTAGGGGAAATTAAAAAATTTCGCCCACACAAGGGAATAAATGTTTTTACATAACCAACTCCAGAATAAAACAAAAGGCAAGGCAAAGGCATAAATAGACACAAATGAGTCTTGTATACAGGTCGTTGATACGGATTGCATTAATTGTGTTTTTATATACAAAAATTTTGTTTAACAATTTTTTGCAGCAATTTTTTAATATTCGGTGAAGTCCTAAAAGTACTCAATTTTGTTTATTTAGTTTTCTATTGTTCTATATTGCAGTGTATCAAACATTTATTATTTGTTTATCTGTTAACACTATTAATAATTATATTACGATTAAAATCTTATACTGACAATTTATTACAAATATTTGAGCACGAACTTCAAAGGGGTTCTCAAACGTCAAACCTAATAAGGTAATAAAATGCAATTAAACAATTAATTACAATTACCAAACGATTATTCATTACAACATTATGAAGTAAACAAAAGTTGTGTTAGTTATATTTTTCCATCATCAGCATTTTCTAATTCGTACCGTAGCTATCAACTTTATTATGTGCTTAAATTGTGTATTTTAATTTTAGTGTAGTATAAGTAAGAAGTAAGATACAGGTGGCTTTGACTTTGCTGAAGGTTATATATTCTTCAGAAAAAGATGATCAGGTGAAGAGTTAAATTTTACTTTCAGTCAACATGATAAGTCACTTTTGGAGTCGTAGATCCATTTCTACTCAACCAAATTCATATAAAGAAGAAATAATATAAATATATGTTTCATTTTGAAGTGAACTGAAGGGAACAATTTTGAAAGTATATACAGTGGTCAAAAAAAGTATTCGACATTAACTAAATTTTTGTTAAATGTTGTAATAACAACAAAAACAAACAAAAAAATGAAAAAAATAATGCAATTTTCAACATTTGTATTCTGTTTATTTGTATTAATTGTTTTTACTCTAAAAATTTAAAAATAAAATAACATAAAAAGCAATTCTATTGCGCAACACCAAAAATTAAGCAAACAAAATTTTCGACATTTATGCAACAAACTGCAATTTTGGTAAAAAAAACTAAAATTTAATATTTCAATGCTTTGGCATTCATTGTACTAATTTTGCTGTCATAGCTGGATCCATATTAATCCATTCGTTTCCTCAAATCTGTTGTTTGTTTGAAAAGCTGTGTTTTCATAATTTGCACTCCAAATGACCCCAAAGATGTTCTATGGAGTTAAAGTCTGGACTTTGCGGAGGAGTTTTCATCACTTTTGGGCAGTTATATAATAACCAAAGCTTAGTGTTTCACGCAGAATGCTTTGGATCATTATCCTGATAGAATTGAAAATCATTCCCAATGCCCAATTTTTGTGCACTTTGATTCAAGTTCTTCAATATATCGGTATATAATTTGTGATCCATTATCCCATTCAATAC